ATAGTAAAGAAAGAGACACAGAGGTTATTGAAAACGAAAAAATTTCGAATGACAAATTAGTCGGTATTCTCGACACAGCAATTATAGGACTTGAACAGCAGAACTTTGTAACTAAAGAAGAAATTATGTCTGTTTAATAGAATTAAAGAGAAAGTGTTATCACATGAAACGAAGCAACTTAAACAACTTACATTGAAAGAAATGTTTAATAAAGTAAACAAATAAATATTAAGCTTTTCTTTTTGTAAATTTTGATATTTTTAGATCATAATTGTTTTTTATTTCATAAAGTACAGTTTCATATTTTTAATTTTGTAATTTCTGCATGATATCTTACCAGATTTAAACTGATGATCTATAATCCAGAAAAATCGATAATCCGGAATCGCCGAAGTCCCAACGAGTCCGGATTAACGACTTTTGACTGTAGTTGTAATGTACATATGCTTCAAAAAGATTGCAGACTAAACAATTTTTTCACTGTTTTGGGGAGAACCATGGTTCCAGTTTCAAATAAATAAATATAAATAAAATAGGCTTCCGCACAACAACAGTTTTTGACTCATTTAATTACAAATTTCTCTTCGTTCTCCAAAAGAAATAACAATGAATAATACGTTTTACAATGTGCTAATAAAATAAGAATTCCATACTCGTCTGATGAAAATTAGCAGATTTATGTTTTTAATCAAAATTTTGCAGGAGAGATTTCAAATATTACTTTCAAGCAATAACTATACAGAAGTTGCATTTTTTACGTTTTTAAACGCAGTTTTCGATAGTTTCAGCATCTTTTATGAGTGCTACGAACCGTATTATTTCTCTAAATTTTCTTCAGCAAGGTAAGGAGCAACACATTCAATGATATTTTTCCGCAAAATCGCTTTGGAAACACTTAAATTTCACATATGTCTCTTATGCATTCATAGCCAAAACAGTCCATAACTGAAAGCCTAATTTTATTCAATTAATTTCTTACATTAAAATCATAACCGCTTCTACTCTTTTTAAGGTGTTCCTGGATAAATAGGCATTCTTCTAAAATAGAAATGGTAAAATCATTTGAGATATAATTTTTCCTTCTCAAAACAAACTATTAATTTTGCCAAAATATAATCAAAAATAATAAAATAATAAGTTTAAATATAATGAAATAAATTCAAGAAAAGGAATAAATATTTTAAAATTCATTCAGTTGTTTAAGAAAGTAAATAATGGCAGCACAACATTATAACGCATCATCATAATATTATCTGAGAGTTGTAAAAAAGTATAAGTCTCCTTTTATAAAAGCTCAAAAAAGATAATATATATATATCATGTGCATTTGGTGAATTAACGTATTAACCCTTTGCGACACGCATATTTAAAATATATTTAAATCTTTAAAAAAATGCCTTAGAATAAGTCAGATGGACTTACTTAAGTGCCTTTAAGGCTTGAAAAAAATTCTGCGCTTTTATTTTTTACGGTGGAAGGTGGGATACCGTTTGTCCCACCATGCAACTAGCACATGTCTTATAGCATATTGGTGTATAGCAGGAAAAAAAAATCCTATGTGGAATGAATAAACAAAATAAAGCGTGCATTCTAAAATATTCATAATAAACACACTAAAATGCATTTTGTACTTTTTGCATATATGCATGACTTGTAAAATTTTGCATATAGTATATATTTAATATTTTAGGAACAAAAGAAAATATTTTTTTGAATATTATTTTAAGATTAAAATTTGATACTCGTACATATGATACTAAATAAAATATTAAAATTGGCACTTGATTCAAAAACATTTATATATGATTAAAATTGAAAAAAATCATTTTTCATGAAACTTTGAAAAACATGTTGTTTCATTCTTTTGTAAGCATAGAGGCACTTCACATGTTTCACAGATCCAAAATGTTCGCCGTTCTTCTTTCGATATGCTGCAATACGCACATCTTCTCCTGCTCGTTCTCTTTGGCGTTTTACTTACATTTTTTAGTCTTTTTTCTGGTTGTACGAACGGGATTTCAGTTTTCTTTTCAGCTCTTTCTTGCCTGCAAGTGCCATTAGACCTTAACTGAGGGAAGAAAATCTTTCATTGTTTTTACATCATGATCAGGTTCGCGAACAAACTTGACTAAATGTGTTTACTATACTCGCATCTAAAAAGTAAAAAAAAAAATCATGTGCCACCATTTCTTGCTTTTGCGGTCTATTTCATATAGTCTGTCAGTTGATCAATCAGTCGACATATCCCATATTCTTATTGTATGGAATAATGCTGTTTGGGCACAGTACTTTTTTTTTTTTTTTTTTTGTTCTTTCCATCTCGCTCTTTTCTATTAATTTCTTTCATTTCAGTTGCCTTTTCCAAGCAAGACAGGATAGAAATGCATCTTTTATCCTTCCATTTTATGCAATAAATTGAATCATCGCCAACTGAAAAGTCTATATATTCTCTTGACATAAATTTGTCTTTTAAAATTTAGGTAGATACTTCCGATCCATATTTACAGTGTCACATGCATAGATGGGTCTGTGTCTTTAAAAAGCGAAACAAATTATAACTACTTCCCTTTCTTCTTCAGCAATAACTTCAACCTCAGTTATTCTCTCCTGGATTTCAATTTCATCTAAATCAGAACTGACATCTGAAGCATTTGAGTCGCAATCGGATGGCAATTCAGCAAAAAGATCCAAAGCTTCCTGAGTTGTTAATTTTTTTCTAGACATTTTAGCACATCAGAGCATACAACGGATGTAAAAGCGCGCACAATCACCAAAAAAGTAGATGCAAAAAAGAAAAGAAAAAATAATCGTGAGTGCTGCCATCTATTGAGCGGAAATTCAAGTGTGTGGTGGGACAAATTTTAACCCACTTATTTCAACTGCAAAATTAATGTTATAAAATATTGAATCCAATTAAGATTTTTGAAAATAAAATACCTTTGAATATTAAAAAGAATCATACATATCATAAATTGTATACCAAAATTTTTAAAATATGGAAAAATGCGAGATACATGGATATCACTCTTGTGATCCTATTTTGAATATTTTTTGTTTATAAACTTAAGCCCTGGTATAGTAGTAACATATACTGAGAAAAATAATAACTAAAATAGATTATTTTTAAAAGATTAGAAAATTTCTAACGGAAATTGCTAAGTGAGAAAATAAATATTAATTAGGTGGGACATATATTGACCCACCATGCCGCAAAGGGTTAAAGGCTTTGCTGTATATAATATAAATATATGCTTGTTATTTTACGAAATAGAGTGTCTGGAGCCCATTCAAATACCCTGTAGAATTTTAACAAATTATTTTGTAGGATATATTACTATAGTAATATATTTCCAGTATAGTAATATGTCCAAAGCTTTTTGACAAAGCTGCTGACGCTTTACAAAAAATACCTTATTTCTTTCAAAACCTTCGGAAGGTTAAAATGATATTTCAGAAAGTTCCAGAGTTCTAATTCTTTGGGATAGGATACCTCAAAACAATTTAGAAAATCATTTGCTGCTGACTTGAGTGTTCGTAACTCGAGATGCAGTTTGACATCTGAAGCATTTTTTATTCAGAGAACTAAATAATGAAGTTAATTTTTATTTGTTTAAACATGCAATTTATTTTTCTTCAATTAAAGTAAAAAGTGAAATTTAATTTTGTAGGTCCTGATACTGAGTGCATTGTTTTATTTATTTATTGGACACAATTGATTTCTTACGACAGTAACAAATGAATTGCAATTATGATGCATAAATATAAATAAGAAATTCCTTTCAGGGAAAGGAAAATGGCATAATGTCATCACATTTTTTCAGTGTATTTTAAGAATAGAAGTACTTGTTATGGATGAACAATGGCTGATAATGTAAATATGTAATAATTTTACATATAAATACATAATTTTGTAACTGGTGATGTTTATAAGACTACATTATTTATAAGACTTTGTCAACCAGTCTACGTAATGCTGTCATTTATAAAAATTGACATCTTACTGAATGCTGTACTGTATTAGTTTTGTGTCATGTAAATGAAGGGGATATTAAAAAAAGTAGTAAATTAACAAGAAATTAAATTTTCTGTGGCCTAGAAGAACAAGGTGTGCAATCAGATAAACTTAGGATATCTGATGTGTAGCAATTAGATTTCTGTTCTGATGAATTTTATCAAGGTTGGGGATCATTATTTTCAAAGAATCAGCTCGCATTGATATTTTCTATTAAAAGTTAGGATAGAAATATTTCAGCCATCAGAAATTTAAATGTTAAATTATAAATCATATTGATTTTCACTCTTTTGTTTGGAATATTATGTAAACATAAGTTTCAAGATTAATTGTATAATATAGGAAATGTTTATTAATTTCATAGAATTTTTGAGACTCTCATTGCTGCCTGTTTATCTCATGTTGTTATTTCATTCAAAAAGCAGTAAATTAATATTTCAAATAAAATTAAGTGCCAAACCTATAATGGCAGATTAAACTTGGCCACTAATTTAAAATTAAAAGTTAATGTATTTTAATGTGTTGTTAATTTTACTCTTTAAAACAGAATATGAACTTTGGAATATATACTGTGGTACGTGAAATAAAATGGAAGCAGTGTATGATAAACCAATCGATATAAATTGGTGTATGGTTTAATTTCATATGCCTTTTTTTGTTATTTCTTTAGCTCAGTGTTACAAGAAGTGGATTTCTGTAGTCTAAAATTTTTAGTCATTGGGTTATTATGTTAAGCAATTTTTTAATTAATTAATTTTTACTTTGAAATTTATTGAGGATGGAAAATAGTGTTTTTCCTTGATTATCCTGTCTTGATAATATCACTGAATTCTAGTGAATAGCTGTACATTAGGTATTCCTTTGTTAATATTATTATGTTTGAGTTACTAAATTTTTTTTAGATTTACTGAAAAGTATTTTTTCATTAACAGTATTTTTAATTTTGATTTTTCTTTACATAGTTAATAATGTGTGTTTCATCTTCCAGGAAATCATAGGAGGAATGCTTGATATAGATTCAAATATCCTACGAAAAAACAAAAAAGAAGATGCACTAAAAAAGTCATCAGAAGTAGCCAAGTTCGAAAAACTGTGGAATGAATTTGTGTCAAAAAATATGTAAATATATATGTATGATATTCACTCACTTTTAATGAAATACTGTAATAAAATAAGTTATCACTTTAAATATTTGTGATCGTTAACTAGTAAAAATTTGAAAAAAAAAAAGGGGAAAAAAAACTTGCTTACCTTACATGACTTCTTTGTACGGAAAATTAAATTCTATGCATTTTTTCCTGCATTTCATTTACACTTATTGAATTTAATTAAATCTAGTTCGACAATAGCGCATAAACCACAATAGAATAAATGCATTCTGTAAAATTCACTATATTTGTTTACTGTAGTGACACTCTGGTGCTAGGTTCAATGTTACAACATCGTTACATCTCATTCATTTTATAACTTAGAATGCAAAAAAATTAAATCATCAGAAGAATTAATTATCTAATCGTGCCACATGTTCTATTCAAATACTATAATAAATCTAAAACGATGTATAAAAGCAATTAAACAAATAAAAGATATGTTTTTCATAGAAGATTTAGTGCCACTTACCTAATGTGCTTGCACTACTCGTAAACATACTTCTCTGTCCAATACAGACTGGTGGCAATATTTGCTGCTAATACGAAACACTTATTTCCTCAAATTTTATTAGAGCTATATTTCTCATTCAATTAATTCAATTCTGACTTTGTGGCAAGGCAGAAATACATAAAATCTGAAAACAATTTCATTAAAAATTGAAAGATACTGAAAAACTGAAAGCAATTTAAAAAAAATTTTACAATTAAAATTGCAGTTTCTACGCCAAAACAAGCAATTCAGCCAACAAGCAAGAAAGGCAGATTTTTTAGTACACAAGTTTCTTTTTGGTCCTACACAGTAAGTACACTGAAGGTGCTGAAAGAATTAATTCACTATTCTACTAAGTTTCAAATGTAAACAAATATGGCGACCGTGGTAAAAAAAAAAAATTAGGCCTAGCCGCACTTAAATAAATTTAAATTGTTGATAATTCTACAAATATTGCATGTAGATTAACTAAAGGCATCGAAATCTAAACCGGAAGATAAGAACAAGATAATTCAATCATTTTTAAAGCAAAAAATGCACAATTTACCAATATATAAGAATAAAAAAACTGAGCTCATTGAGGCGAGTAACAGAGTGGGTATTATATGTATATATGTCGTAATTTCGAAGCAGAGTTATGATGGCTGATTGGTAGGACGAGAAGAAGAAGTTGATGCTAAAGTAAATTCAGCCAGTTAAAAAATCATCTATTTCCAGATTTCCAAGCACACTAGAATAGTTCCTCGTAGACAATATACTCTTTAATCATAAAAATAATTGTTGTTCAGAGGCCAATATTTAGAATAAAGAAGCCATCGATTAGGACAACACACTTTATTTACATGAATAATGAATAAAAAAGATCACACAGGAAATCATACTGACCATCACACAGCAAATAACATATCACCATCTCCATACGGTCGAAGGTCGAATGACGGATGTGTCGGTAGAAGAGACACCTGCGCCATCATAATTAATACGCATGCGCTTAAGAAAAAAATGTTCGCTCGCCTCTACCCAACACAACCCTCCTGCGAGCAACATTTTTTCAATACAAAAATGAAAAACAAAAATATAAAACACATTACATTAAGAAATTGAGGAAATTATTTTCAATGTATACATTAATTTTTCTTCACTGACACTTTTGGTAAGAAAATCTGCAATCATATTATCAGTTTGTGAATATTCCAACTTAATGACATTGGTCCTTTGTTAAGTCCTTCATAAAATGGAAACGTAAGTTCATGTGTCTGGATTTCGTAGAAGATCTGGCACAGTTGATCCACTGGATGGCAGCTTGACTGTCCGTATTCAAGACCACTGCACCATTCAAAAATTGTTTACATTTTAATTCTGATAATAAATTTACAGTTCAAATAATATCTTACAAATTTCAGAAATAGAAAATAATTCTGCTTCGCAAGTAGACAGACTAACACTTCTCTGCTTACGACATTTCCAAGAAATCAATGAATCACCTAGTAAAATAGTACCCCCAGAAAATGACTTACCATTTTCTGCATTTCCCCAGCTAGCATCAGCATATGCATTTAAAACTCCAAAATCATTGCTATTGAAAAGTTTTTTATTTTTTGTACCTTTTAAATACCTTAATACCCTTTTAGCCAAAAGATAATGCCTTTTTTCTGGTACATGATTAAATTGTGACAAATAAGTCGTTACAAATGATATATCAGGACGCGTTCTATTCGCTAAATATAAAAGTTCCCCAATTAATTCCTGATACAAAATTGCATCAATTTTTTCATTTGTATATGAAAAACCTTTATATCCTCCTTTAACGATTGGCGTTTTTACTGCTTTACAATTTTCCAGATTGTGTTTAGTCAATAAAGATTCAATATATTCTGTTTGAGACAAACATATACCATTTTCAAGTTTTTCTATTTGCATTCCCAAAACTTTTGAATTAGTATTTTCATGTAACTCGAATACATTTTTAATTTTAGAAACAATATTTTCAAGCATTTCTTTATTATTACAGAATACAGCTAAATCATCTACATACAAACACAATATAAAAAATGTTTTTGGTATCATTATAAATGAATATACAATTATCAGATGCTAACTGTACCAGTCCAAGTTTTTCTAATTCAGTTTTTATTTTCATATACCAATTTCTACCCGATTGAGGCAACCCATAAATACTTTTCTTCAATTTACATACTTTTCCTTCTCCAATCAGTTTTTCATAACCGGGTGCAGGAGTCATATACACATCCTCCTTTAAGTCACTGTACAAGTACGCTGTTTTTACATCGTAAAATTTAACAGTCAAGTTTAATTTATCTGAAAGTGCAAGCAATAATCTAAAACATTCAATGTTAACTACTGGTGAATATGATTCGGTATAATCCTTATTTTTTATTTGATTAAACCCAGCCGCTACTAATCATGCTTTATATTTTACTTTCCCAGAGTCTTCTTCCTTCAAAGTATACACCCACTTACTTTTTACTAATTTTGTTTTTTCAGGCTTCTCTACTATTTCCCACACTTCGTGTTTATGTAATGAATCTAATTCATTTTCCATTGCGGATTTCCAGTCATACCAATTAGCACTTTGTTTTGTTTCTGAAAAATCATTCGGAACATTACTTATTATACTTGACACTAGTTGTTTTGATTTTAGCCTCTCCGATCGTCTTAATGGTATTTTATTTCCATATTTATTACCTTTTTTCATAGCTATCAGATGTTTGAACTTTATTCCCCCTGTCATTACCCCCGCTACAACGGCTCATGTCGGCGATTTCGAAATTCGATGAGTCTTCATATTCGCTTGCTTGAGTATTTTCCGTAACAACCAATTCGAGGTGTTTTTTGAACTGCTTCGTTTCCCATTCCTTCTAATTCTTCAATATCCCAAGTTTCTAAGGCTTTATTTTTCCCCATATAATTACTATCCTTTAAAGATTCGTTAAATTTAACTGATCGTTCTTCAATTATTTGATTACTTGCTATATCATAAATACGATATCCTTTTTTTTCTCTAGCACAGTGTTTCTTAACCTTTCTAGCAAGTCGCACCCCATTGAATCTGAAAATATTTATTGAAAAACATTGTACATTTTATATAAATACAAAACAATATTATTTTTATTAATGAGTTCAAATATACTGGCGAAGCGAGGTTCCTTTTTTGAAAGACATACGCGTAAGTCATCATTTGCATTTAAGCGATTTCTCGCTTTAGTTTTTATATGCAAACGCGATGAAAATCCCATTTCGCACAAGTAGGTGGTAGCAAAGGGTAAGAGTAATTGCAGTGCTCCGCTCACCAACTCTGGATAACGTTGTAACTGTGAACACCAGAATTGCTGCAAGTTCTAATTGTTCGAATTCCATTTGAACATGTCCACTTTGCTCGCATTTCAATAATTGAACTTTTTTCAGATCACTATTATCCATCAAATTTAAGTCAAATAGAAATGGATCCAGTATCCATCTCTGAGTTTTGGTAATATTTCCGGTAGAAAAATATCCATTGAATGATTCGCTCGATCGTCTCAAATGTATTACAATGTCGGGTATAATTGTATTGTTTTCATTTTTCGCAATAACAGAATCAAGCAAGGGAAAGTTTGTAAAATTCCCCTTTTCTATTCGACGTACCAAATTTCTAATTTTGCGATAAATGAAGATAATTTTTCACTAGATATTATTATATTTATACAAAATCCTTGCATTGATATATTCAATTCATTTAAATGGCTAAATATGTCTGCTATGTAGGCCAGCCTCATCATTACTCTCAAAATTGTTTACTAAATAACAGTTTTGATTAGTCAGTAATTGAATAATTTCCTCACGCAATTCAAAAACTCTGTTAAGCATGCGACCGTTAGATAACCATCGTATTTCGGTGTGATATAGGAGCACGGTATGATCAGCATCAATTTCTTCGCAAATGTAACGAAAAATGTGATGATTAAGCGCTCGCCTTCGGATGTATTTTACTACATTTACTGCTGTAGTTAGATGTTGTTTTAAACTTTCTGCCAATGCTTTCGACGCAAGTGCATGACGATGCAACATGCAATGTGTTATTATAACTTCCGGTAATTTTCTTTTCATGTGTGGAAAAAATCCTCAATTTTTGCCTAATATTGCTGGTGCTCCATCAGTGCATATTGAGCCAATCACATTCATTGGTAATTGATACTTAATAAAAAAATCTTTGATGCGATTGAAAACATCAATTCCTCTCGTATTCACCTCCAGGGGCTCACAAAATAGAAATTCTTCTATCACCTCTTTTTCCTTCCCATACCTGACAAATACCAAAAGTTGGCTATAATTATCAACATCAGTTGACTCATCCAGTTGCATGCTTTTTTTTAGTGGACTGATTTTTATGTCTTCTATTACTTGCATTAAAATATCTTCACTGAGATCTTCTATTCGCGATCATATAATATCATTCGATAATGGAATCTGTTGGATTTTTTTATGTGCTTCCGAACGTAAAACTGTTTTAGCAATAATTAAAGCAGAAGGTTTAATCAACTCTTCAGC